GAGGTTTGTTGACAGAATGGAGCTGTTAACGATGATAAGGAGGAGGTGAAACTTCGAGGTTTGGGGGGGATCGGTTTTCTTTGGTGTTTTGTTGCGGGGCAAGGGGGCTTGGTTGGTTGTTTTGCAAAAGTCAGTCATAGATGCTTTGTTCCAAATCCTAATTCTACAGTTAGCTAAAAAAAAGTTATCCATACAGGGTAAATGTGAAGAGTATTAACTGTTTGCAACCAGCTTAATAAATTTTGAGTCAATTGAACATTTAGAATTATTAAATAAACAGCAAAACCCAAATCCCACGTGGCTTCATTACATAAAATATTAGAGGTCCTTCCTTTATTGGAAGAGATGTGAAGTATTTAAGAATATTCTCTTTTGTCTCTCTTTGCTTAATCGCTAGATGGAAAGTTTGTACTTAAAATATCTGTCACTGGCATGTTTTGGACTCTCGGAGGTGTCCCTTATTCTTGTGGTCGGGGTCTATGGTAGGGAATGTCATAGCCCCATAACAGGGGATGGTCTTTGGTAACATGTCTGGTTGTTGCACGTGTGTCTTGACCCTCAGCTGAGTTTCATCTGCAGAACTAACTGCTCACAGGTGGCTTTGGTGGAGCCAAGGAAGGAAGGGGGTCGCTTACAGGTGCGACAGGATTGCTTTGAGAGATCTGCCTCTACTTTTGCATGGGCAGTTTAGAGAGAACAAAGCCCCAGAGCAGTACCACAAGAGGAAGAGTGAGAACATTCAAGGGGAAAAGTTGCTGTGAATCAGTCGTAAATAGCTGGTTTCAAAGAAGTGTCATTAAACCGTGCTTTTTTTGGACAAGTCTGTGAGGTGGCTGTGGCATTTGGCCACTGATGGAAGGATGGCTCCTTAAATACAAGTGTTGTTGGGAAGTATGATGAGGCTGTCGGGTGTTCTAGCTGACAAGGTGTGTTAGTGTCTGAATTTTTGCATTCTGGTATGTTGGTTTAGAATAGCAGCTTGGAAACCTAACCATGTAGCAACCATGTATATCTTCCTTTTACCATTCTCTTTCTGGTTTTTGTCTTGTGTTATAACCTGACGTAGCAGTACTGGTCAGCAACTGGTGAACGCTGCCCGTGATGCAGGTTTTCACGTACTGCTGCACTTGGGCTTTTTTTCCTGATTGATTTTATGAAAGGAATTGAAAGAGTTTCAAGACACTTTGTAAGTGCTACAAGCTGTAGAATCCACGTTGTCTCTGCCTTTTCTGTTTGCTAGGTTTGTCTGTCTTTCTCCTTGTACCCAATAGAGTTTCATTGAATAATGGTGACTTTAAGAACTAGATCCTCCAACTTCTTTACAGGCAAACCACTTTTTGAATTTAGTAGCCTGTTATGGACACTAAATGACTTACCGTTTAGGAATGTATAATTTCTTGATTTAAGGAGAGGTATAATATATATTAGAGGCAGGTCTTGGTCTAGTACTGCTTCATCGTAGAAGACAGATTAAGACCATGAGAAGCAAGTAACACCAAACTTCTCCATGTCTGGGGTTTGTGGCTCATCTGTCTGGGGGCTTTTTGGTAACTTTAATTACATCTGAGTCCTAATTCCTTATTTCTTTAAATGTTTATATCCTGACCAGCTAGATATAGGCCCTAAATCACTGAATTGTGATGGACGTGCTGAAATACTTTGCCAATCAGGGCTACTTGTCTGTAGCTCAATGCTGAAGGTGTTGAAAGAGACAATGGAAAGTTAACTTGCTTGCAGGGAAGTGGTGTTTGGTTTTGTTTGGCTGTTCCTGCTAACGTAAAAGCCTGGCTCACTGAATAATCCATGAGAAGCTAAATGTCTGCCAGCTGAGGTCACAAAAATACCGCTGTAAATGGTAGAGAGGGCAGATCTAAACCAGGCAAAGAGCCCATAATCAGATTTTTGTACAGGTACACGCTTGGTCCCCACTGCTGTGTAATTAATTCAGGAGCCTTCTGATATAGGAGGTACGCAAGCGTTAACTTCAATGTTGCAGATGGGAAACTGAGGCCCACCGAGACTGACCAGATGGACAAGTGTGGTTAACAACATAACTCTTAGTTACGTGTTCAGCTCCAATAGATTTTAGCAGGAGTTAAGCAGCGTAACGCATTCCTGGGTCTGAGCTTAACGGGCTTAGTCAGCCAGGAAGATTTTTGGAAAAACTACGTGACCCCTGAACTTCAGCCCAAATCTCCTTTTTAATCTACTGTTCAGAGATTATATGGTGAGAGGTGCAGAACAGACCTGAGGTAAAGCCCCAGACTTTTTCCAGGTTTGTCTTTTGTTTTGAAACAAACAAATCCCCCCCAAAAAGCAAAGAGTGAGGTAAGAGCGGTACCTCATGCCGACAGTCAAGGCTGAGGCAATAAAAAGAGGGGTTTTCTTTCCTGAGGCCATGGAGTAAGAGATGAAGAGATGATTTTTCTATGCGTTGTCATTCTTGTATTTAAAAAATAGTGTTTAGGGGAAGTGTTCTTAGTAGCTGAGGATGAAAGACATTAAATGCCGTCAGTAAAAAGATTGTATAGTGTGTGAAAATGTGGAAGGAAAGGGGATAAACTGCACCGTGAGAGATGGGATAGCTTGCACCGCCCATCAAGTTATTTACTTGAAAAAAAACCCAAGCTTGCAGCAGGCAGGTTGGCTGGATGGGTTACAGACGTATTTTAAATATGAGCTGTAGTTAATGTCACTAGCTTGAAATTCATGAGAAGTAGCTGTGTTCTTTGAACTTGCATCTTTACTTGCAGAAGCATGATGGCCACTTCACAGTCATCCAGCTGGTTGGCATGCTGCGAGGGATTGCATCTGGCATGAAGTACCTCTCAGATATGGGCTACGTACACCGCGATCTGGCAGCACGTAATATCTTGGTCAACAGTAACCTCATGTGTAAAGTCTCCGATTTTGGTTTGTCACGAGTGTTAGAGGATGATCCTGAAGCTGCTTACACAACAAGCGTAAGTTTGTCTTATCTAATTTGAACAGTTGATTGCCTTGTGCCTCTTTTATTGCCTGGGCCGTAGGAGTAGTAGTTTGAATTGGCTTTGTTCCATTCGCCGTCCATGTGGTTTAATAGCACTGCCAATGTGTTTAAGGGAAGTTGTTTTGATTTTTTTTTTTTTTTTGGCTAAGGGCTGTATAATAAACATTTGGTAAAAGGGGGTGTTTTTTGAGCAAATGTGCCAGTATAAGTGGGAGACCTTTTCCATTCTTGTTTGGGTTTTGTGTTTGGTTTTTGTTGGGTTTTTTCCACATCGTTTCCCCTTCTGCTAACTTGTGTTCGTTTACAAAGATATGTTTTTAAAAAGAAGGGGATGGGGAAGGAGAGAATCTCACCGATTCCACTGTTGGAAGCATGGTGTCAAGCCTTGTATTCATAAATTAAAATTTTCATTTTATTTCACTTAAGCTTACCTTCTAACAGGATATGTAGGACCTTTCTCTTGAGGTTTAAGTCTCATTTCATTAATACTGAAATCCCTTATGTGATGCAAGTAAATCGTTACAGTGGAAAAATGGTTTTGAGGTGGGGTTTGGGGGGGGGAGCTCCACTGAAGTGAAAAATTCTTGCATGTGGAAAAGCTTGTTCAAATTTGACTTGGAAGAAAAAAGTAAATTGCACCTGCAGCATGAAGAAAATAGGGGAAGGAGTGTGTTGGTGCTAATAAAATTGTAAGTTCAGATCCAGCATTTTTTCACCATATCAAAATGTTCAGTTACATTCCTGTTATGATTATTACCACAGTGTTAAGAATCTTAACTAATTATGAGCTGATTTCAAGTAACTTTCATATCTGTCACTGAAACTAAAATTATTTCAGAGCCAGAGTGCGTTCTCATTAGTCCTCTTGCAAAATGCGCAGAATTTGTATGTTCCCGTGATAGGGCACAGTGACAGAATTCTAATAAAGATAATAAATGACCGCTAAATAATTTATTTCAACCTTTTTTTCTATTTCACTTTAAAAAGTGCTGTATGGCCAAAATGAGGAACTCATTTAATTTAACTGTATTGTACTAAGTACTCTGATGTGTCTATTGAATTCAATATAACTATTGTAATGGGATTACAGGTCTTTTGTATGTAGAATTATATTTTTTTTTTTTAGTGTAAGCCTGATAAAGTCACTGTAACTTCCACTTCTTAGAACAAGGTCTACACAGAACTGCAAGCCGACTAGAGCAAAACAAGTCCCTTTGCAAGGTTTTCTATCAATATGCCAGCTGGAGGTGAAATCATACTTGTTACCTTTATAGGGGAGATTTCCCTCATTCAGTTCTTAAAACCTTCTTAGTATGAGGCTTAAAAAGGAAAAATACAAATTACTGCAGCTTAACAAGTTACCGTATGTTGGCTGAGCCTTGCTAGTTGTCCGTGGGAGCGTGCTCAGTTGGCAGCCAGTGTTCCCAGTGAGCAGGTCCAGTAGATGTTCTCCATGGGAATGCTCTGTAGGGAGCCGAATAACCCTGTCACCTTTTTAAAAGAACACAGCACAATTATGACCAAAACAGGGCAGGGAGATAAGAAGGAAATATTTGTCACGGTGGCTATGGAGGGCTCAGTGAAGACTTTCACCCTTTAAGCAGTCTTTCATGGTAACAAAAGAGAATAGATGTCATGTCCTCCACATCTCATCCACACTGAATGTCATGTCCTCTTGCAGCTTTCACTGACCATCGTTATACCGTTGAGCCTTTTTTTCCCTCATCATGAACATCTTCCCAACTGCAGGCCATGTGTATTACTAGAGGTTTTTATAGCATCTATTTAGTTCCATACCGTGCTTTTGCCAAATGAAGGTTAAACCCTCAGTGCCCTTACAAAGGTTCTGGTGCTTTTAGAATTCATGTTTCCTCTCCACAGAGATTTTTCTTGATAACAGCCCAGTACCTGTAGCTACAAGAAATCTGTAGAGTGGGTCTGCATATTGAATAGCAGTGGTTTTAGGCTCACATCTCCCAGTGTACCACTGTTTGTCAGCGCTCAGAGGAAACTCTGATTATTTTTTATTCCTTTTTTTGTCTTAGTCCTAGTGTCAAATAGTGGTACAATTGGATGTTTTTGGAAACGAGCTACAGGACAACTGAAGCCAAACAGAAGCCGAAAAATAGAATTTTACATCTGTGATGCTGCAGTCAATATTGTGTGAATGTATTCCCAGATATAAAAATGCAGATTGATGCAAAAGACGAACTGTGGCAAAACAGGTTGCATTCTCCCAAAATTAAGCTGAAAGGCCCTTGTACCTTGTGAATTTACCACATCTGAGCAGGCACAGCTTTGAGTCAGATGATCGACATCTTTTGCTTTGTCTTCCTGTTGTCATTCAATACGAGTATCATCCTCTTTACTGGCTGGTTTAGGGTAGATCTGATATTCTTTCTAGTGGCACATGCTCACACACATAGGGCAAAATCAGGAATTGAAGTCTAGGAAAAGCAGTAACACTGATAGGGAAAATCTGGAAAGGAAAGCACCCAGAAAATTACTACATTCTGTGCTCACACTGAAACATTAGTTAAGAAACTATATTCCACTAAGTAGCAATGGAAAATGTGACAAATGCCCTAAAATAACACAGTTTGAGATCATTATGTTTCTCAAGAATTTCAGACTGTGATAGTACTGGTCGGAGACCCACCGAATGCTTTAAAACTGTACATGAAAAGACTGGAATCTCAGAAAACAGCTTTCTGACTTCCATGAAGGCTTTTTTTTTTTTTTTTTTTTTTGGGGGGGGGGGGGGGGGGCCCTCCAGCCTATTGAGACAAAGGAATTAAATATGTTTTTGACAAGAGGGTTGGTAGGAAGTAAGAGATTGGCTTCTGTTTGCTATCAGGAGTCGCAAAACTCACAGCAAGATATCATTTTAGACTAGGAAGGAGGAATTAAGAGCTAGGAACATCTGACTGCCAATCTTTGTGTTTCAGACTGATTGGGAAAAGATAAGGTAAATTTTGGGATAACTGAATAGCATGGCTTTTTCCATGGAGACAAAATTTTCATTTTTAGTAGTGATTTCCAAAAAAACAGTCGCTCATAATAAGATATTTCTCGTATAGAAACAAGCATTTCTGTCAATACAGAGGACGTCTAGGCTCTTGCGTCCCTGCTTTTATAGAATTGCAGAATTGATTTGGTTGGACGCGACCTCTGGGATCATCGAGTCCAACCTTTGCCCTAACACCACCATGTGAACTAGACCATGGCACTTTAGATAGACTATGTTATATGAAGTAGATTTATTTAGTCTAAAACAGTCAGAGTTCACATGTATTTCAAAAAGAACCACGTGCCTCCGGAAAAACTGTTTACATGTAGCAAAATGTATACATATATATATGTAAAATCAGAACAGGATCTGTGGCACTGCTGCAAAAAGGACTAAACTGGTATTTCTGTTAGAAGTGACACCTTAATATTCTGCATTAAATCTGAATTTTAGTGAGACAAAAAGCTACTGCAAACTGAATTATATGATGCATAAAGAAATGTATTCTAGATTTCTTTCTCTTACCATCTGTATTTCTGAATTCAGCCTTAATATATAGAATATTTTCTTATTTCCGTAATAATAGTTGGAGAATTGATTTACTGCATTGCATTTCCTGAATCATTTGATGACCTTTATAGGTCTGACTCTTCTCAAGCCGGTGGGATAAAATTCCCCATCCAGGGAGATTTCAGGCTTATTAGATTCATTAGAGGAGCAAAGCAGATTGATGCTGGTAATCTATATAAATACTGGCAAGTAGCAAAACTTTGGGGGGATCAGGGTGAGAATTTGATACTTTATACTTTGTTAGATAACTTCCATATTTTAAGACATTTTCCATTTTCTTACTCATACACAAATAATGGGTTTGAGGGGAGAAGGTTTAATTTGCTAAAAAGTAAAACAAGACACAAATGATTTTCTATTTAATTTGGGATGTCAACCAGTAGTTTCTGAACAACCCGAGTGCTATGACAAACATACAGCCTAGACGTTTACTTTAAGAATCAAATTAATTATAATAAATTGATTATTGGCAACCATTCAGAAAAAGAAAGAGAAAAAGAGGCTGCGTACTGTAAAAGTCTGTATTAACCTGTTTTCCCGAAAACTAATTGGTGACATAAGGCTGAGCACAATCATTGTCAATTAGTTAATTCTGTATGTAACATGACAACAGCGCATTTTGTCATCACCAAACCGAGAGAAACATGACGATGGGCAGGATGCATCATGACTGTGTTTGGCGCTCAGTCTGAAACCAGGCATGTGGTGTGGAATCCCACCAAGCCTTTCCTTTATCTGGAGGGATTTTTTTCTTGCATTGTATTTCACTAGAGACTGGCTGAAAAATGGGTGGGCTAATATGGTTTGTAACACGTTAATGCCCTGTGAGAAGAAGAGTATTTGTTCTCCTTGAGCTCTGCAGCTTCATTTTGCCCAGCTGAAACCTGGCATGGGTACCTTGCCTGAATACTCTATGGAAAGCTTAGTTGAAAGAGCATGGCCCAGGCCTTCTCTAATGTCTCTTAGTGGGGTGAGTAGGACAGACCTTTCTCCTCTTCATGGTACTCGCCTCGCACCACCCCGTGCTATCCCTGTTCAGTCTGAAAATCCCTTTCTTGTCTGTCTTTCCCATCACATCCGCTCTATAGCCAAGTATCAGATGCAGGATGTTTGCTCAGGCTGTATTTTATAAGATGACAGATTAGCTGGAAGTGAGGGGAAAGGAGAAGAACAGTTATTTCCACTACTCTTACCATTTAGTTAAGAGGTAAATATTTAGCCCTTGTGGCCACAGATAAAATGCCTGCCATTCATGACCTGACTCCGACTTTTTGGGACAAGCGCTGATGTTTGCAGAAATGTTTTAACTAAGGGTTGTGTCCTTCCAGGGCTCCTATGTGATATTATAATATTGTTTGCCAAATTGGAGATGTAGAACTCAGTAGGATCCTGAA